AATTTTTGTTTATCAACTATTTTAAAACACTTTTTTCAATTCATTAATTTTTAAAAATACACTCTTATATTTCTTTATTACTTAATTTATTAAATTTGTTTATATATACATATTTTTAAATTTATAAATTTATAAATTTAAATTTTTTTTAAAATATATATTTTTTACAATCAATATCTTTTATAATTTTCATTATCAGTTAATATTCTTTATAATATGAAATTTATTTAAAAAATCTTAAATTACTAACAAAATTAAAGTACAAATAGGAGATTTGATAATTAATTTTTTAAGTTTTTTTTTATTAATTTTAAATTATAAAAAATGTTAAATAAAAATACAAATTCTTAAAGATGTTAATTGAAAAAATATAAAGATAATACAATTAAAAATTTTGATTCACATTATAAATTTATGAATTAAAAATATATATTTAAATAAATCTAATAAATTAATTGATAAAATTTTTTAAAAATATACATTTTTTAAAGTTGAAGGGCGTAGAGTTAAATGAAGAAAAAATGCAAAAAAATAATAATAATAATAACGAAATGTTTATATTTTATAAAACCCTAATATTGAAAAACAAATATTGGGATTTAAACTTTTTAATCAAATTTTATTTTCCTTTTTATTTTACTATCGTATATTGGGGCTGACGTGGTACTCACGCCCTTTGCATCCTCTGTAATATAAGTATCTGCTTCGCCTTCTCCACCAAACCCACCAAAAATTTCGCAGACGAAGAAATCGTGAGGGTTTCTGTGATTCGCTTTTTTTTGGGGTTTTTTTTCTTTTTAGGGTTTTAAATCTGAGAGTTTGCGTTATGGGTGAGAGGGTGACTGGCAAGGTTAAGTGGTTCAATGACACTAAGGGGTTTGGGTTTATTACTCCGGATGACGGCGGCGACGATCTCTTCGTGCACCAGTCGTCCATCCGCTCCGAGGGCTTTCGTAGCCTTGGGGAGGGTGAGGAGGTCGAGTTTGTGATCGAGTCTGGAGACGACGGGCGCACCAAGGCTGTGGATGTCACTGGCCCCAACGGCAACCCGGTTCGTGGTACCTCGAGATCTGGTCCTCGCGGTGGTGGCGGAGGTGGTTACGGGGGTGGCAACGGTGGTGGGTATGGAGGCGGCAGCGGTTATGGAGGTGGCGGGGGTTATGGAGGTGGTGGAGGGAGAAGAGGAGGGTATGGCGGTGGGGGTGGCTACGGAGGTGGAAGTGGTGCATGTTTTAAGTGTGGTGAGCCTGGTCACATGGCAAGGGACTGCTCACAGGGCGGCGGTGGAGGTGGAAGATATGGCAGCAGCGGTGGCGGAGGTGGTGGCGGCGGTGGCGGCGGCTGCTACAGCTGTGGTGAATCTGGGCATTTTGCAAGGGAGTGTCCCAATCCCAGCAATTCTCGTTGAGCTATTTGGCCCCTTTCCTATCATCAATCTGTTATTGCCTGTTTTCTACTTTATCCAGTCTGGGTGGGTGGGATTTTATGTTCTTGATTTTAATTATCATTAGTTGTCCTTTGCTGTTGTGGTCTGTTTGCTTTTGTGTCATTTCAGGGTCTTTCAGGGTGGGGTAGTTCTTAGGAGTAGACTTGCGGTGGTGAGTAGTTTAGAATTGATTATGATACTAATCTTGTTGAAACTCTCACTGTTACAAGTATTGATAGACATTATATAAATACAAGTTGAGTTTTCTTCAATTTTTCTAGTTTGCTATTACTATCTTGTTCATAGCTTGGAAATGGTTGCATTATAGCCTCTCTTTTTTTCGTATGGGAATTGATTCATTGAGGTTCTTTTCTCATTATGGGTACTTGATTTTGGGTGAACATTAAAAGTTGGGTAGATGTTTTTGTTGAATTGTTGTGGGAAAGAGAAAAGGACAATTTAAGGTTGAGGCCCATTTCTTAGGTGAACGGTAGGGACAGACTGCAGATTTGAGTGAGGTTGTGCCTTTCTTTTCTTTGAAAAGGTTTAGACCGATTGGTGAATGAAACACATGAATGATGAAGCTGAAAACCAATATAAGGTCACATAATGGGATTTGATTGCTGGGTTGATTTAACAGTAGTTGATTTTGAGCTTTTATTTATTTATTTTTTTAATCTTAAATTATACCATAAAGACAATTATTTATATCTCTAGAGGTAAATTAAATGTCGCTCAAATTTATAATATTTTATTTTTTTACTAAAATAATTATTATTAAATCACTTATTTGTTAAATAATTTTGAACCTTTAAGAATATCATCTAGAAGAGATGTTAGTTGTTCCATCAACTAACATCTACATATTACTTGTCCTAACAGTCAAACCATGACCTTAACTTTAACGTTGATTTGTGTGGCAATAGCCACGCATGCCTTCTTGTTTGTTTGTGCTTTTAACTTAGAATTTCTTGTATTAACTCTATTGTTTTTAGTACATTTTACTTATTACACTTTTTGAAAGGAGGTGGTCTAATTAATTTGTCAATTTGATCTTAAACATAGTGTCTTAATCTCCAATTTATTCCTACTTCGCTTATTATGGGCATATATGAAATTTTACAATTATGTTTTAAAATATATAATTTTTTTTAGAAAAACACAGATTAAGAAAGTTAATTAATAGCCTAGAGGAATATAAAAAATTAAACTTCTCAAAAATTCAAACCATAAGTTAAGTGCATAATAATTGTTAGTAATTTACATAAAATAACAAAAGATGGTATTTATTTTAGTCCATCACCGCGTATATATTTTTAATTGACTAATTAATTAAGCCAAGCTCAACATTTGTATTTCTAAATTCTAATACAAATTAATAAAAAGGTATATATTTACTATACCTTAACCAATACATTAGGAAAGCCCTTTTGAAATTTACAGCACATTCTATTTTCAATACTAATCTCTATGCATTTAATTAGTGCGGTTAGGTTTGAAAAGAAGAACTAATAATATGTAACAACCCTCCCTAAAAAACTAAAGTCACATATCATTTTAAAATGGGCTTCAGAATGGTTTTTAAAGGCTAAAGGCCATTCAAGCGTATCTTTTGGTTTGACTTTGAGAGAAATATCTCAAGAAGGAGAGGAAGAAGTTTTTTAATTAATTAAAATAAAATATTTATTAATATTATAACTTGATTGATTATTAAATTTATTTTTCTCCTTTTTTTTCTTAGTTGTTTTCGTCAAACCAGTATCTTTATTAAGTTTTTAATTGGAGTCAATTTAAATGGGGTTGAAAAAAATAAGGGTAATAATATATTAATGACTTATTCATAGAACTTTTATTTATAATTTTTATGTATTATTAAATGAGTTAATATAAACAATATTAGAGGTTATGATAAAGTAAAAAAAAAAATTCAATCATTTAATGCGATGTAAGATTATATAAAAAAATTATATACAAAAATTATCCTTAAATTATTTTTCATAAATAAATGTTGATTCAACTTTCAAAGAATCTCTTGACACTGGAATGAAGAGTCTCTTAAGTGTAGATTGAATACAGTAATAGGATTTATCTATCTTGTATTATAAAGGCATAGATTAAAAATGAAATAAATTTATTTTTTATAATTAATTTATATAAAAAAATAACAAAAATTAACCTTTATTTTAGTACCATTATCACATACAAAATTTTAATTGGTCAATTAATTAAATTAATATTTATATTTATATTTTTTTGAGACAAATTAATCATAAAAAAAATTAATTATTATGCCTTTAAAAATACAAGTTAAAAAAACTAAAAATAATATGAGTAAGAATGAGGTAGCATGTAATAGATTGTCATTGTAAATACTCTAACATCCTTAATTAAAATAGACACATTTTAAAAAATCGTAAAGCCTACTTAAACTAGTTAAAATGGACAATATCAATAATGATTGGTGACCTATCTTACTTTGAAAACCCAAACTTGGAGTTAATGTTAGAGTTGAAAGTTCAAACCCTTACAAATGTGAAAATTACAATTATTGTAAAGCTATTAACTTGTGAATTCTGTTATACAAAAAACAAAGAGATAGCACACCAGGAAAGTTAGTTGTCATCCAAATGGGCTTATTATTAGTAATCATTCTTGGTGGGCCGTAGATTGTTGTGCTACAGCTTGAATGGCAGGTTAAGTAATGGGCCAATAACTTGACCTCTTCCTTTCACATGAATGTGGGCTCTGCATGTCGAATTGGTGGTTGACTGGTGTTGATGCCATTGAGTCATTGACTTGGACTGAGGAGTATACATTTGGGTTTCACTTCCACTTAATGGAGTTGTCATTTTCCCTTTTTCTTTTTCTTTTTTTAATATTTTGTGTTGCATAATAAAATATAAATATATTTTATTTTTATATAAAATTTGTTATTTATGTGAAAAAATAAATGGCCGCTTAACTCTTTAAGTGGGTAGCTAACTTGTCATTTTCCTTCACCCTTGAAATTGGAAAGAAAATGGTTAGAGCATTGCATTGTCTGTTTGGCAAATAAAGGAAGAAACACCATGAGAGAGTAAACCGACTTTAACTGAAAAGGCAAGTGCCTTTATTCCGATGGGGTCGCATCGCATGCCCTTACAAAAGAATATTAGCATCTTATGAACATTTAGCTTTATCACTGCTACGGCATAAGCTTTTCCATGGCTACAAGATAATTAGATTCCTTTACTGTGCTTTGAGTGAAAAAAATCTTAACATAAATAAAATAATTTTATTTATTATCGACTAATTGTAAATTAAATATAACTCTTATATTAAAACTCACCCAATTGTCACATGTATACCTTTTTTTCTTTAGCACTTCGCTGCTTAGCCATTTCATTGCCAAGAAACAACAAAGCAAAAAAAGAAGAAAGGTACATTTTGAGTTTCACATCTATGCTTCTTTTTGCTGCATCAAGTAGCTTTTTTTTTTAATGAGCTATCATTTTCAAGGGTTGAATTAGGCATCAAATGGAGTCACTTTAAAATCAAAGCGATTAATCCAAGGAGAGACCTCAAATTTCCCTTTTAATGGATTGTGAAGGCAACAATTGAGAGTGGGATCCAAATAAAAGATTCGTATTTGTTTACATGTCAAAATTTTATTAACCACATACAACACGCAGGCATAATGTAAACAAAATTTACTGAATCAACACTCCAACATTATGAACATTGGTTGATAAATCCATGTAAAATAGAACAGCAGAATGTGCCAAAGCAGGACAGAAGAGATCAGAGATGCATCCCTGCCAATTCTCTCTAACATTTTGGATTCCTTATTCTGTCACCTTGTGGCAAAGGTAGATTCCGTTACCATTTTTCTGTGTAACTGATGCTTTGCAGTATATTGGCTGGATAGATACGGACCTGTCAATCATCCTTTTTCCATTTTACCAGACATATTACTAAAAATTAACTTGTCACATTCTGACATTTCACATTCAAATGGATGTGGGGGTGGAGGATGACAATTAACTAAGAGCATTAATACAAGCTTCATTTTTTTGCTTCCTTAATTTTCTCCCTCAACAAGTCAACATGCTTAACAAACTCTCTAAGCTAAATAACAAGAGACAGAGAAAATGGTAGTATTGATTTTCCACCTCTGTCTTCTCATTCCAAATCCTACATATCAAAGATGCAATTAAGGTGCCTCGCGTTGTGTTCATGGGTGCCATGTTAATGAAGTTGAGCTTAGGGGAATTCTGGATTGGTAACAACTGTCTTCAGGGGGATGGATCAAGGGTGGAGAGTGTGGTTTAAGGGGTGATGCAGAGGAGGAGCAGCCGCTGCGGTGGCGTTGAGGGGGTGAGATGACGGTGGCAGCGGTGGTGGTGGACATTGGTAACATTTGGTGAACAGCCCAAATGTGTCAATCTGGTGTATGAAATTTGTCACGCTGGCCCACCCACCAAATCCAAACCCAACCACGAGGACCCAAACCACCACGAACATGTTGATCGTGTATGTCCCAACCCATCTTCCCACGAACTTCGGTGGTTGCTCCACCGCATTCTGCATCAAATCAACCACAACCGTTAATCATAAGGAATCATAATCAAACGGTCCTTATCAACCCCACACTCTAAATTACTTTATATTTGTTTAATTAATACAAAATGACAATATTTAAATCTAAATTGCAATATAATCAACTTAGGAGATTGAACCGGAAACTGGTCTGCCCGACCGTGACCATACGCTACCGCTTTGATTGGTGTTATTTCAGTCAAAAGTTTGACTGACAAAAAGCATGTTTCATTGTTTTATCGTAAACGAGATGTTTAAGAAATTAAGTGGATTTAATTTTTCACATTTTAAATAGTTGTTAGTTGTTAATTTTAATTAAATAAATTAAAATTTTTAATTTAAATAATAAAAATTATTAATTATTTAAGATTAGCTATTAATTATTAATTATATATAAAAAATTTTAATTTTTTTAAACAAGAAAATTTTAAAAGAAAAGAATAAATTTATTGGTAATTAATAAAAATTGAATTTATAACAAATTGAACTTAAATTTTTAAAGTTAATGGTGAAGC